CATAATAGACTACCAATATTTACAAATTCTCTTGTCATAAAAAAGAGCATATGAGCACTGATTTAATTGCTGAGAGACAGTATGTTCACATATGCTCTGGACCAAAACTGAGCTGTTTTTCAATAAGAGACTATCACTATCAGTTTTCCGTAGCATACGTACACACAAAATGCCAAAGTCTACTCTTCTTAATACAAGGCCAGTGGAAAGTTTTAAGATTATTTGTACTTTGCACTGCAACTTTCACTAATCAAAAGAAATCCTAAGTATGTTTTTTATAGAAAAGCAGATTACTTTTATTTAAAATCATGTTATATTCTTGCAAATATCAAAACTCTCCCTGCATAAATGAATCTTGCCAAGTCTATGCAAAAAGACACAGATTGCCAAGAAAACATCAGAAAGGGTCTCTCTGCATGGAGATGTACAAAGTCCCATTGCTCATCTCCTTCATCCAGAGCTGCTCAGCAGATGCCTAGCAGGCAGCACTAGGCTGCTATTCTTCAGCTGTAGGAAGGACATGCAGAGAGGCCCTGCAACTGATAAAAAGCCAAAAAGCATTTTTTAGACCTAGCCACACTAGCTCTTCCTAGTGACATGTATCTGCTTATTTCAAACCTGCCCCTCCCTCTTGCTATCCTTTGTGCAGTTTCCTTCCTTATGTCTTGTACCTCACCCTTTCTCCATTTCCCCTCAGTCTTTGGCAAAACAGATCACTTATACATCTTGTGATAAACCTCGGGTTCTTTGTGTTTTTAAGTGAGCAAATACTCTCCCTCCACATTCAGGAAATTAATTTGATATGACAGGCTTTATGTCACAGCCTTTGTCTTGCTCTGTCATATCAGGATGCTCTAACCTCAGCAGAATTATCTGGCTATGTCCAGCATCCAGGGGAACCAAGGAAGTAAGGTACATTTTCCAGTCTTAGCAGCAACTATTCCTTGCCTCAGTGACAGCAAAGGTACCTGCTGTATTTGCCAAGTCCTGATTCAAAACTCCAGACTGCTGAAGCTGTAAATAGTAGGTAAATAGTCTTTCCTCCCTCCTGATCCCAAAAGCCTTTTTTCACCCCTTCCCAACAGCCTAGATCTATAAAAAGAGCAAGCAGTATGATCCAGTGGTTTGGGTACCCTTTTTTCTGGCAAGAGGTGTTTCCTCATCTGCTCTCTAAAGAAAGAGAGACCAGATGGATGGCCCAAGCCAACTGCACTGCAGGTCTGGGTGCAACATTTCCAAGCTGAAGGAGGCTCAAAGTTCTTCTCCCTCACCCACTTACTTTCCAGAAATGCAAATTTCCCCATTTTGGATTTAGGCTCAGAGAACAGGATCCTAATGTAAATTTGGGGTTGTAAGCTCAAAAGATACAAATTGGCTAGCATACAGCTGAACTTTTCAAGAAGCGTTTGAATGATGCATACAGAAAGGTACACACAGATATAGGCTCTAGATGCATTCTAAGGAATTTCTGTTCTTTTCTTATAGGATAAAGCACACAAGAATGCAGACAATTAGGAAATAAATTACCTGGCTATAACATCAGTACACTCTGTCTGCCTTAACCTGGAAGACACAATTCTATCTGTGACAGTAGCAGTGTTTAGGAAAAAAAAAATCCTGAATCTATAAACTAGGCCAGGGTGGAGTGGGGGGTCTTTTTAACATTTTTCTTCATTTTCTTTCACTTCAGTTTGTAAAGCGGAGACTTATTGAATGACCAAAAGTCATCCTTTGGTCCAAGGAGCAAAGGTCTGTGAGACTACAGTAAGTTTAGTGATATCATTTTGGTTCTCAAGCCAGACACTTTAGCATTGTGTTCAATAGAATTTGAGAAATCTTTCTAATGTTAATTTTCACAATTGCTCATCTCTTAATTACTGGAGTCCTGTGGAAAATTTTGATAAGATTTGCAAAACTATGCAAAAATTCTGCTTTTCTGTTGTTTAGTGAAATCTACTGTTGCCCTTGTACTCAACAGTGGATGATTATTGTATTTATGTCTTCAAAACATTCTGAATTTTTTATCCTTTTCATGTGTCTACCTCCTCTCTCTTCCACACAGAAGACCTCCATGCTGTTTACACTTTCTCATGAGAAGAAAGGACTCAAATCATATGATGGAACAGCCACAATTTTAGAAAAAGATGTAATGGTAACCTCTGATTTTCTGTTTGCTTCTTTCCTACTATTCCCTAGTACTTCATAGTACAAAAACCAGTGATGATCTTTACTGGGTAGTAATAGGTAGCTGAAAGCTCCTGACCCATGCACAGAAAGTGAAGATAACACAAAAGCTGAGACTTTTTGACAGTCACCTTTCATCTGACTGCTTTGAAAATCTAGTGTCATTGCTAATTTTTGCCACATCATTACCCAGCTCCCAGGATTATATATGAGTAGAATGAAATTATTATGTACATGCACAGATCTTTCCTATACTCTACTTCCATTCTCCTCTACATTGTTAAAAATGTCTCTGTCTCTCCCTTTTCCTCCCTCTTCATTAATTTTGTTCTTCAAAGCTCTTAGATAATCTAAAGACACCATAGGACAAAAAGGAAAGTTTTCTCACAGATCAAGAATTGACTAAAAAACAGGCACAGAAGGACTGGAATAAATGGATTGAGCTTTTTGGTACAAGTACTTGAATGTCCTCTTAGTAGTGGGCTTTCAACACTTTTCTTGCTTGCTTCAAAAGTATGACCAAACACTTTAAGCCAACAAAACCTTCTGCAGTGCTTCCTTTCTCTTTTTTTTTTTTTTCTGTAAGCCCTCTTTAACAGCCTCTTCTGATAATTTGTCTGATTTTTGTACCCCTTGCTGATGAGCTGATATTTTTCTACTTCCTTTGTCCTCCCCCACCTCCCCACCCCCAAGCCCCAAAAATACAGATAACTTATTTCATTTGTGTTTCCATTACTAATCACAATGGAATAATCATCAAGACTAAATTATCTCTATTGTCATGCATGAACCACTTGAACCACTGCTAATCAGGGGAAGCATATTCGTAGTACAGCAATTTTCATAGCAACAACTGTATGAAAACAAAAACATTCACAGGAGCAGAATTTCCTTTTACTCTTACATTTTTAAAATTCTTTACTTCCACCTAACCCTATTATATCATTCTCTATCATTGACTTTTTAGGAATCACTGAAGTATGATAAGAAATTTGGAGTATCTGTTCAATTCAGAATTGAAAATCCTAAAACAGACATTGAAAGAAAATTGTCTTCTGCGGCACACCAACATTGAGTTTCTGCTTCAAAACTAAGATGAGTATAACAAAAGGATTATTTGTAGCAGCCAACAGTATTAAACCAGAATATATCAAGGCATATGAAGGTTTCAGAAAGCCTTGAAGCTGTTTGTTAATAATACAATTTCTACAGTTTGGAACAGAATAACTACATTTTACTGGCAATATTATTCTTAGATTTGCAATTCATGGGACATGGGAATTGCAATTCATGTAATTCCCATCTGGGTATTGCAGAGATGGAAACTTCTGGAAAAACTTGCCTCAGGGTTTCCAGCTGAAGGTCCTATTTTCAGTGCTGATAAGCTTCCTGAACTCTATGAGCCTGGACCTCCCTGAAGATATTCAGGAACTGTTTGGAATACACAACCCTGTGCCATGTGCTCTGGGATGACCCTGCTTGAGCAGGGAGGTTGAACCAGATGAACTCCTGTGTTCCCTTCCAACCTTACCCAGTCTGTGATTCTGTGGTCTAGTCCTGTGATTTTCCATTACACAACCACCCTTTGGGAAAGTGAAAAAACCTTTGGGAAAGTGAAATAAATAAATAGATAAATAAAATTTTTTAAAAACACCCAACACTACAAGATAACTAATGTTTCACAATTAAGTTTTCATTAATGCCATTACTGCAATGCTCTTCAAGTTACACATTGCTGTCTTTGCCTAATCTGAGTAATACGTACACACACAACAATAAACCAGTTTTATCAAACACACATCCACGTGTTTTCTCTCCAACATGATAAAATAGCACTGTCAGTTGATATGATAAAAAGTCTTTTTCCTTGTTATATTAACTTTTTTCATGTGTGCCTCATTATTTCTTCATGTTGATTACTCAGTGGAAGAGTTGAATTCTATTTAAGGCTATGGAAAAGGTCATGGACAAAAGGGAACTCGAGTCTCTGTTTGCCATTTTAAAAGAAAACTACCACACTTGTGTTAATATTTGCTTTCACTTACAGCAGGTATACTTAAGGTATCTGAATAGCAAATCATGGTGGGCAGTGTGAATTAAAAAGTACTGAAGTTATTGATCTCAGGAGAAAGATGTAGACATGTAACAACAGATTCTTTTTCAACAGAAATCTCTGAAAATACTTGGGATTTTCTTGTTATGGTTAAAAGCTGTTCAGCTACCCAAATTTAGCAGCTACCCATTGCAGAGAAGAAAAATTCCATTATTTGTATCTGATATCCAGAGAAGTAAAATAAGTAATCAGAACATGCAAGTTAAAAGAAAAGTCTATTAAAATTAATGAAACCGAATGCAAAGTAAAAGTTGCTACAAAAAATAAATTATTTCAATAAAAATAAAGTTACATGAGCACAGGATATGAATGACTTCTGGGTTTAGTCAGCTGGTTGATTACTTATGGTGCAGGGAATGAAAACACAGTGGAAAGAATTCTGGTTGCAATTCCAGTCTTAATTCACCAGAAAGACAGTCATTTTTAAATGCAAATTTTACCACTGCTTTCAAGGAATGGTGTCAAACCAGGTTTTCTAAGAGATAATAAAGGTCAGGATTTGAGGTTTGCTGCCTGGATCCATTAATAACATTCCAAAAACAGTATACTTTATATTATGAAAAATTATTTGTTGCAAGGCAATATTTCATAACTTGCAGAAGAGTTTGATTGCTACTTGTGAAAATTTACACCGACTGTAAAAAGGGTTCAGTCAGGTCAGGATCTTCCAAAATAGGCCCTGACAGATACAAGCAATACTTACCTTGCCTGCTCTGCCTTGATATCTGCCTTGGTTGTCAGAAGTAACCAGTGCAATATATCCCTTCCAGCATGATATTATCTCTTTCCTCAGAATCATTCATCCTTCTGCCATCTTGCCCATCTTGTAAGTGGGAGCGAACAGAAAAATTAAGCACAAGATCAAGTCTGTCCCTGCTTCCAATTAGGAGAAATGGAAAGCAAACCGGAAAGTGCACTGAAGGAATATGCAACAGACTATACTAAAAATGCAATTATGCTCCACGTAGAAGAAAAATGCCAGGAAACTGCATCTTGGAAAAGTTAATACAGAATGGTGTTTCCTCCTACACAGCTTTGGTAACAATATGCTAATGCTGTATATTTGACAGTAGTCTGCTCCAGCTTCTGCACCTGTGACAGCCAAGGCATGAAACAGCATTTTAAATAGCACTTGCTTCTTATTTTAAAGTATTATCTAAGTTCATAGCTGCTATGGTATTAAAATGTGACTCAGATAATCACTAGTTACTGTTCAATCCAAAATTGCAATTAAACTGGAGTTACTTATATGAAAATGGAATCCTAACACATATTAAATTCTGCCTTTAGACATGTTGTCTAAACACAAACATCCTGGAAACAATACTTCATAATGTCAACACATCAGGAATGCCAAGAAAGCTTGCCATGTCTGAAGATTGCAAGGCATGGTCTCTTGATGGGATTAATGTAGGTGTTATTTTGCTTTTTTTAACCTAGATTAACTTATTTTTTGCTTTTATAAGCTTTTAAATATTTATAAATGACAGCTTGGTTCAGCTATTCACTGCAGATTGACTTATCCAGTCTAATTACTTCTTTTCTTATGTTATGTGAAAGCATTACTCATAAGTTCAATTTTACTGGAAGATTGATCAAAAAATATACCTGCATTTCCAGTCTATTTTACACACTGAATGAACAGATAAACAACATAATTAATTTTCACTAAGGTATTTTCTCTAAGTAAATAGTATAGTTCAGTCCACAGAATTAAAAAATTAAGTTGTACTAAGAGATTAAAAAGCACATAGATGGTTTTGAACTCTGCAGAGATTGGGAACGTAGAAGGCAGTTAACAAAAGTTTCAGACCAGAACTACCAACCAGGGAACAACATGACGTGGGGTGCAAGGGAAAAATTAAGAGTTCAGGATTGTGTCAGAGGCTGCTTCTAGTGACTCATTTGGCAAGAAGAGAATAGTTTCTTTGTATTAATCCTCAGTGCCTCTCAGTTCACCTAGAACAGGGAACATTTTCTGTAACCTGCTCAGAATGTACTCTATTTCCTTTACCATGGCCTCTCCCAGAAGTACACCACCAAAATGTACCCTACCCATTCAGCAGAGTATTCTGGGGAGCAGGGAATTAATGAGGAGAAAGTATCCACACCCAAAGAGAGAAAATAAAGCGACGGTCACTGTGTCCTCTCCAAGAGGAACTCAGGAAAAAAACAAGTTTCTGTATTGCCTCTTACTTTCTCCATTTCTGATAACTTTTGAATTGGCTCCTTTCACAAGGCATGCTTTTCACTATACTCATATCCACGTAGGCAATATGTGCAGGCCAAAACCACAGAGAGTGAGAAGGAGCACACAGGGAGAAACATCTTCATGTATTTGTCAGTACCTTCTTTTAGTTGACCAATATAACAATTAAAGAGTTGCAATCAAACATCAGTGGTTTGAAATATTTCAGGATTGTTAGTAGTTCAGGGATAAAAATAATCTATTTCCAAGATTCATGGCACAATAGTTTATACAATTCTGCTTCTTTTAATACCTCACAACTTTTATAATCTAATATATTTCTTCTTTCCAAAACAAATTTCAGCTTCCTTAGTGTATTGTTGCTTATTTTATTGCTTTCATTTCCATTTTCTCCTTGCACTAAGATTTCACCTCAGAGATTACATAGCCATTCATATGTTCAGCAGGGCTAAACACTGGAAAAATCCAAAACCATCTTACTGTCTGGGGGCCAAGAAAAGGAGGTTTCACATGCCTGTAGAACCATTCTTGGACTGGAATTACTGACCCTGAGAAAGTTTATATCATCATCTTTTCCTGCTGGCTAATTGCTCTGCTCATTTCCAATCAGCATGTTCCATCTTGAAATAATTGCACTCAAGAGATTGCTTCTATAGTCTTGTGTTCAGTCTCAGAAACTTCAATTATTTGCACTCATCACAAACAACTTTGACCCATTTTTTAAGTCACTAAAAAAACTTTCATAGAATTTCACTCTCCTTTCAGAAGAAAAACACAGGAAACCATAAAAAACAACCCTGTCATACAGTTACAGTACCAAAGCACTGTAACTGTACCACCCTAGGGAATAGTGTGGTAAGTGTATAATAAACAATTTAAGCTTCTTTCTTCTTCAAGCCAAAATGATTGCTTGCCTCACATATTTAAAAAACAAAGTATATAAGTTGCAGTTGGGACTGTGATTTCCCAAGCACAAATCCTAAAGTTGGACACAACCCCAGTTTCATATTACATTGATGTGTTCCAGGTTGCAGGAAGCTCAGATTTACAGCCCTGGGACCACTGCTATTTGTGAAGTTCAAAACAAAAACCAGCCCTTCCCACCCTCAGCCCTGAGCTTGCTCTCCAAGAGCAGCGTATTCCTAGATGGGTACAGGAAGAGTTTCAATCATGAGCACTGCCTGACTCAAGAGGAATTTGAACATTTGCAGCGCTACCAAACACCACTTCCTTTCTCAACCAAGTATTTTCATAGAATCATGGGATCATTTAGGTTGGTAAAGACCTTTAAGATCAAATCCAACCCTTAACCAGGCACTGCCAAGTCCACCACTAACCATATCCCTAAGTGCCACAACTACAGGAGATGGTGACTCCACCACTCACCTGGACAACCTGTTCCAAAGCTTGAAAACTCCTTCAGTGAAGAAATTTTTCCTAATGTCCAGTCTAAATTTCCCTTGGTTCAGATATGGAAGGGAGAATGGTAATGTGACACAGCTAGTAATGGTAGATTTAAAAGTTGTAAAAAAACCTAAACATATTAAAAACAAACTTAAAGAAGCACTGAGCTGATATTTTGACCACCTGATGATGTGCAGACATAGGAAAAAATACATCACCTTTTAAAACTGAGTTTTCACCTCTAGATTTATCAACAATTTCCTTTGAAAGCATCCTACAGAATATATTATTTATAAACTAGCATCACTATAAAGAAGAGATTGTTTAGGAGATGTAAAAATAAAGTTACTATTAAGTGTGAAAGTAGTAACTAATGATCATCAAACAATTACAAAGACTGCTGAATGGTCTGAACGCAAAATCTTTTGACAACCCTTGTAAAATGGCCACAGAATTCCAAAAATTATTCTTTTAACAGGGATAGAACATTGTCTGCACAGGCCCATGGATAGCTGAGGACACAACCTTTCAACCTGCTACCTGCATTGCAAGTCAGACTTCCAACCCCTTCTATGGTCTTCAGCTTTCAATGCAGTCAATACACTTAAATATTCAATCTGCTGTTGCAGTGTAATTTTTATGTGTTGACTTTCTTGTTCCCTGTGACATTTGCTTTTCCCTTCCCTTATATATTCTTCCTCTGTCAGCCTATGACCTCCTTCACGTAGCTACCTCTTTCACTATGCCATTAAACCACTTTTTGAGCAACTGTCCACAAAATTAACAGTTTTCTGCTGAAAAACAAAGCAGATTCTCCTTTGTTGCTTTCCATTTTTTCTTTTAATATAGCTGAAAATTGGGCCCTATATTCATATTTTCCCCTGAGATAATACATGTACATCAATATTTCATTATATAGTTGACTTGAATTTTGGGGATTCTTCATTTAGAATGATGGGGATTCATCACAGCAGATACCAGTTGTTCAAATATATTCAGAGACTGAAGTGTGTACTAGAAGTCGCAGTGGCTTCTTTCGATGTCTTCCAGAACAACAAGGGGGCACGTTGAAATAGCAGGACAAATGCAAGAAAAGAGCTTTTCTGAGGCAATATCCACAATTATTGTAAGTTACCTGACCCAAACATACCAAAATAACAAATATATATGGGTTGATTTTACTGAAGATAAGACATAATGAAATCTGGTATCTTTGTTTAAAAGGAACATAAAAAATCCTGTTTCTTCAGAGTGCCAGAGAACTCAAAAGGAAACAAAAAGTCTTTTCTGAAATCTTCAGCTTTTTTCCATTGGTCAGTACCTAAGCCTCAACACTGAAATCCAACATTCCTCTCAGACATTCTGTGTTCTGTAGGTATATTTTCAATTTTCTACCTTCTTTTGCCATTCCCCGCTTTTGTATACCTATACAGCAAGATTCCTCTGCCTGTACAGTCCTACTTTTTGTAAGCTGAAACCCTCGTGGTGCCTCATTGAGCTTCTTCTGCTTCCTTGCACTTTTGTTTATAATATGAGGCTATATTTTCAAGTTGCAGCTGCGTCTAGAAACTCCATATAAACTAAGAGGAAACCTAGCAATATAGAACATTGATTTAATTGATTTTTTTTCCTTTTTTTTAAGTTTTTTTTTAATAAAAAGCTACCTGATTTCATGGGGAAATTATTTAGAGGAAGAACATTGCAATTTCATAGATGTCCTAGAAAAGATGAACAACAAATTCAAAGTAACACATTTCTGCTATGGAGCATGCTATATATATTTTGTAGTATTTGTGACTGAATTTCTACAGAGCAAAAACTAAACCATGCCTGTGACAAGATGACCCTCCTATTGGCAGCTTAGATCAGTTTTCCAATTTTCCCTTTCTCAGCCAGTTGATATCTTCTGATATTTTACCAGAACCCTTTTAGGTATGGCAAATAAATATTTCTATAAAGAAATACATACAAGTAGCACTCCCAAAAACAGATCAAAACTTGTATTTCTCAACACAGGCTTAGTCTTTCCAACAACCACTGAGAACTTCTGCACCATTACACAGCTGCTTGATACATCTTACAGCTGAGATAAATGCCTCAGGATCTGTGGACCCTTTCCAAAGGACCGATGTCCTTGCAGAGACATTCTGCAAGTCTGCTTCAGAAGCAGAGTTAAGGAGTCCTGAAGAAGTGCATGGATCAAGCTCTTCTACAGGACTGCATTTTGCTGTCAGCCTGGCACAACTGTGGCATATTGAAGCTAGTGTGTTCCAGCGAAACGCACAAACACCTCTCAGAGCTGACACATCAATGCCAAGATGCACTCCCAGCTGGCAGTGGGGACAGGTTGCACTGGGTTTGGCTTCCTCCCATCCTCTAAGACTATCCCAGACAGCTTCACACCCTAAAGCATACTTGCACGTCCTTGTGCCAAGTTCCAGG